TAGGCCCGAAACGTCAGCCTTCCTGCTCCTCTGATGCTGCTTGGCCTACTGGTATTTCCACTAAGTGTCATCATTGTTTCAATACAGGGAATCATTTTTTTGCTCAAAGACAAGATTGTTTTCTTGCTGAAGCTCATTCTGCTTTACACAAACTCACTAACTGACAACATACGACACACTCCCTGAGCATAATTCATGGTTTACAGACATTACCTCAGAAGTGGATGAACTGAGTCACTTGCACTTTACACCTTGTGAGGAACCAATTATCATCCATTCAGTTTTCTTCATCACTCTTACTTTATTGGTTAAGATCCAGACATCATCATATGGGCCTCTGTGGTACTTCCAATATCCTAACAGGGGCTTGAAATTACAACGCGCTACGCAAACTCTAAAAAGCAATTTTACTGAAACCGACCTTGGGTGTCTTGCAGACCATTTTGTATCCTTGCAGCTTTGGGCACTCATTCCTCTCTAAAATGAAGCAATGTCCCAAGTTACTCTACTAAGCTTTGAAGACATGGGGTGCTAAATAAAATTCCTGGGAATTCAGTATCCTGCCACTGCAAAGATTTATCCGAATGAAAATGAAAGGTATTGCAAACCAATAATACAACATTGAAACAGATCCACAAGTTGAAACATGATTTCAGATCACATTTATCATAAATTAGCTTTCTTTGACCTCACTCTAGAAAAGAAGTGTTTTCTTGTATTGTTTGTCATAAAACATGAAGTTCAAATATTTTAAAACACAGAACCTTTACCTTTTTATAAAACAGACATTCATCTGTCAGTACAGATATTCCAGAAGATGCTTCTAGGATGCAAAGCATCCTTGAATCAAATGATTTTGGAGATTTTAATGAGATCATAGAGTTTTTAAATTATTCATCCTCAAGGGTTTTAAGTACACAGTACCTCACACAGTACTAAAAAAGTTATATCAGAAACATTTTAAGTACATTATTATCACAAAACCATCTCAGAAAGAATAATTATTCCAAAGTGCACTAATGCTGAAAACATAAGCAGAATATGTTCTGCGTAATTTCAATTTTTTAAAATTAATTTATCATTAATACTCCATAGAAATACATCTTCTGATAATATAATTTCAATCATCTGCTTTGTATGTAGGTAATTTTCTTTGTTTATGGAGTGGCTATTATTAAATTAACATTTTGTGATATCAGAATGGTATTACTATAATGGGAGCGAAATTCTATACCAGGCAGCACTTGCTAATATGATCAGCAATAACATGTTGTTAGGGTAAAGGTGACTGATCTAAAGAAACATATTACAGATTCTACAGCATGGCAAACCTTCCAAATTGCACCAAACAAAATGATATAAAGTCTCACTATAAAAAAATTACCACAGTAATAATTATGAAATGTCCAAAATGTGATTTAAAGTGCCAAAGATAAAAATATTTTTACGAGTAAAATATTATATGTGTAAATTTCCTACCTCTGTCAAATGTGGCATTGGATTAAATCCACAAAGGTTGCACACAACCGCCTTGCATTCTGTACAGATATTGAAGTTGGGAGGGGCCTCAGAACCAATATTCAAATCAGTTTTACAAAGAGGGCAAGTGCTCTTAGGTGGAGAAGCTTTTTCGGTTTCCAAGGGCTTGGTTGTCTGTTTAACCATTTCTGCACCTGGTTTGCTTTCTTTCACCACTGCAGCATTCTTCATGGTTGCAGGGTCTGTTGTGTCTTGTACTGCCCTAACAGCCTTCTGTTCGAAAGTACCTGCTGCTGCTGAAGGCTTAGCTTCTTTCTTACCAATGTCCCGTTTGGGGGATTGCTGAGAAACACTGCTGTCCTTGGACACTG